AATAAAAAACGTTGAAAAAAAAATTTAAAAAAAATAAAATAAAAAGCAAGAAGGAGGGGTGCCTGGCTGCCTCTGTCGGTTAAGTGTCTGACTCTTGATTTCGGTTGAGGTCATGATCTCACGGTTTGCAGGATTGAGCCTGGGTTGGGCTCTGCACTGGCAGGATGGAGCCTGCTTGGGATGCGTTCTTGTTCATTCTCTCTCTCTCTCTCTCTCTCTCTCTCCCCCTCTCTCCCCCTCTCTCCCTCTCTCCCCCTTCCCCCACTTGTACTCTCTTTCTCTCTCTAAAAAAATCACTTTAAAAAGCAAGGAGCAGGGGTCTAGGGTCTGGTGGACACGGACTGAGGGGTGGGCACCTTCGGGGAACAGACCACAGAGATGGTGAGTCATGTGGCTTGAACAGGTCACCCTGAATAGTGGTTTGATCCTGACTCACTGCACCTCGACCGAGAGCAGTTCTGTCGCAGGTGTGATTTAGAGTGAGGGTCCCTTCCTCACCCGAGGCCAGAGCTCCAACCTCCCCAAGCCCCCGCCCCCGGCAGAAGTGGCCTGAGCAGCGGCTTCTCACTCCACAGCGGGCACAAGCTTTTCAGCCCGTTCTTGGCCCCTGTCAAGGGCCGTCGTCAGGCCATCCCGTCCCTTATGTGATTTCCACGCTTGACAGTCTCCCCCGTTCTTTGGAGGCTTGCTCTCTTGGCTCATAAGCATGTGGCCAGGAAGTTCTTCCTGATGTGGGTCTAAGATGCCCCCCACTGCGTATTCTCCCCTCCCTTGGGGGTCAGGCCTTATGCCCCCAAAATTGACTACACCAGTAAGGATTGCGAGTGGCCGTTGCTCTCGGGTCCACTCCTTTCCAGGCCTTCCAGTTCTTTGATCTTCACTGTTCTGGAGAACAGTCAGTCTAAAATGTGCGGCAAATTCTTCCTCGCCAGAGGCTCAAGGCATCGTCATGAACTTGTTAGTTATCCTGGCAGACCATGGTGCTGGTTGCTCTGAGGACTGGGTCTGTCTGTTTCCTGAAGGGCCCCAGGTCGCTATGCTTTTTGAGATGGTTTGCTTCTCAAAGCTGAGCTAGTTCCACCCTGTCGCTGTCACCAGTCCGATCTCACACGTCTTCTCCACTTGTCCCGCGACAACTAAGTGCACGGCCAGGTTCGATGTATGTGAAAGGTCAGCGGTCTCAGAGTAAGAGCCGAAGCTCTTCTGTGGCCGTAGCTTTCGAGTTTGATCTATCTGGCCCGCTTTGCATGGAGGCTTGTCCTTTCTTGTTCTCCATGGTCTGAATGGTATCTGTAGGCCTTTCTCTTTTTACTGGTCAACGGGATGTAAGAGGAAGAGGTCCCTCGAGGGCTCGGCTCAGCTGGCTGGCCACCAGGAGCCCACTGGGTGGGACGGGTGCACCTAATGGTCCCCGCGCGTGGTAATTTTCCTTGTGCTTTGGGGCCAGAACCTGAGTGTGACTGAGTCAGGGAGATGGGATAGAAAATGTGGGCTCTGGGAGCTCTCTGGTGGGAGGGGCGAGCAGTGCTGACACCCTGGTATGTTCAGGCCCACAGGACTGGCCTTCAGGGTGAGGGTGGGCAGGGGTCCTCAGGTCAGCGGGCCTCAGGTCAGCAGGCCTCAGTCACCGGGCCCCGTCCTGGGTGTCTGCCTGGGAGTCTCACCTAGAGGCAGCAGGTCCTCCGGCTGGGGCGGCGCTGACCCCTCCTCTGCCCCCGGGGGTGACTGCTCACTCACCTCCTCCCCAGGACAAAGAGGTCACAGAGATTCTGGCCACGGCCGGGAGCGTCGTCACCTTGACCATCATCCCCACCGTGATCTACGAGCACATGGTCAAAAAGTAAGGCTGCCCCCCTCCTGCCTGCCCCCTCACCCCCCTGCCCACAGCCACACCAACCTCCTCAGCCTCCTCAAGGCTCCCGGCCTGCCCTCCCCTGCCCTCCCTTCCAGGGGGCTGGTGGCTTCTGGCGATTTGAAAGTCTCAGAAATGGAAATGAAGGACCCCGTGGGGGATGTATGGGCTCGTGGGGAGGAGAAGGTGCTGCCGGTTTGGGCGACTGTCATTGTTGCTGTATCTAGGTTGTCCCCGACCCTGCTCCACCACACCATGGACCACTCGATCCCAGATGCCTGACGCCAAGGGAGGGCAGCGCAGCCCTCCCACCCTCCTGCAGGGGAGAGCAGCGTCCTGCGTCCTCCGGGTTCCAGGGGCCTGCTGCCGGGGGCCTGCTGCCGGGGGCGGGGCCGTCTGGAGGGGGCGTGTTCCACGCAGGGTCACGTGGGGCGGCCACCGATACCAGGGGCCTCCGCAGAGCCTCCGACTCAGAGCTGGACTGAGGCCCACAGGCGGGGATCCTCTGTGCGGGTTTAGATGCCGGACACGTAGGCAGGTCGAAGCAACACTTCTTAAAGTTGCAGCCGGGGCCCTTGCAAGATTTTCGCCTCCACCAGAGACACAGTTCCACGTTTTGAGAGAACAGAACTACATTCTTTGAGAGGATTTTTTCTTTTTCCTGTACTTGCCGTGTGTCACAAACTGGCCAGAGTCCTAATCCTTCACTTCTTTTGAATAAAGATTTGATTTTAAACAGAAGCCCTTCTTCAAAAGTAATTGAAAATCCCAGAATCCTTGGTCCCGTGACCCACCAGGCCTGGTTTTCTTCTAAGCAGTGGTGAGACCGCCGCTTTTTCAAGACACACAGTTCTCTGAGAGCCTGCCACCGTCACGTGCTGCCTGCGGGCCGAGGCAGGGGTGACTGGAGCCAGGGAGCGGTGCGGGGCTCTGGAGGAGGGGCACCGGCTTCGGAGCATCCCTGCTCAGCCTGTGTCTGCATCTGCCTAGCAGGTGCGAGATCCACTTTGGGAGGGGCCGCAGGGGAGGGGACGGGGTGCACTTACAGGCCCCGCCAAGTCTGACCCTGAGGCAGGCTGGGGGACGCCCGTCTGGATCCTTCACCTGACCCGGGAGGGGAGTGATCCCAGCTGCCGCGACAGATGCGTGGCTGCACTGAACCTGCACGCGGCTCTCTGCTTCCCTCCAGCTCAGAAAGGATCTCTTTCTGCTCAGCTTTTCCCAGCATGCACCCTGGGACTCCCAGGTTGGCAGGGACGGTTTGAGTCCCCTTCACCCCTCCTCAGAAAACAGACACGACATAAAGAAAACAGGCCGAGGGTCTTGCTGCGTTTTCATGCTTTAATTCAGAGCTGTCTGCGGCAGGTACAACTCTGTCTGAACAGGACAAAGGAGACAAAGTGAAGACCCTCCCCACCTCCCCCCTTCCCGTGTCCCCTAAATTCTCTGTCGAGGGGATGGCCGAATGGAAGAGTACGCCGTGACATGTTTGCACTGTCCCCCTGGGTCAGAGTGGGGGTCATGAGTTCCCTGGGCTCAGGCCCTCAGTGGGCCCTGGTCCCAGAACTTTGTCAATGCCTGCCCCTCCCCAGGGCGCTGTCAGTTCCCCGGTGCTAGTGACGACTGGGAAGGGTGTTCAGTGAAAAGCTTAAGTTATCCCCGTGGGAGATGCTCGGAATAAACTCCGCCGGAGGCCAGCTCTCTGTGCAGAGTCCCAGCCCCAGCTCTGATTCCTGCCTGAGCCTGGACCAGAAGGGCAGCAGGGAGGCCCAGGCCCGGGCCCTCCAACTAAGCTGAAGCCACTTCCGGCTACTGGGCTCTAAGGGACCAGCAGTTCCAGGAGGTGGTGCCTGGGAAAATGTCCCTTAGGATCCAATCGGCTCCAGCTGGAGGCTGGGGAGAGGGGAGGCCCCCACGATTTCTGCTCCAGAAGCCGAGGGCAGGAGGGGAAGGCCACAGCCCAGCAGGAGGAGGTATTAAGCAAGAAGGAAAAGGGGAGCTTTGGAGGAGGAGCACTGTGCGGGCGGCCCGGGCCCCTGGCCTTGCCCTCCGGCCCCACGCTCTGTGCCCTGCGTCACCAGGGCTGGGAGCCCGAGCCGGCAGGCCGCTGTGCCTCCGGCGCCCGGAGCCGCACACGCAGCGCTGCCCCTCTTGCATAGATGCGGACACTGAGCACACACACGCACACACGGAGGGCCGGGCCCGGGCCGCCAGCCAGGGGGCCCCCCAGGGTCCGTCCCAGGGCCACCGCCTCCGCTGACACGGAGAAGAAGTAAAGCCCCTCAGAGGCCCCAAAAGAGAAGACCCTCAACGCTGTGGGCGGGGCCCGGCAACCCGGAGCAGCAACAGATGCGGGCAGCGGCCCCACTCACCTCATGCGCCGCCCTTGGCGAGGGCCTTCTCCAGCAGCACAGAGCGGGCTCCGGCCCCAGCCCGGACCACGTCCACCAAAACACAAGACACGACGGGAAGGCCACAGATAGCAAGACACAGACGAGAGCAGAGGGGCTACGCGGCTCGACTAGATTCCAGTGGTGAAAAATATATAGATTTTATGTTGTCAAATATAGTCATACATTTATTTTCTCGGCAAAGCTTTGACTGTTTCTAAGGAGACGCTACGCAGCTTCGTGAGTACACGGCACAGGAGGCTGGGTCCACGGCCAGTCCCGGCTTGGCTTTGGATTGGGTTTGTCCACTGCCCCTCCATGGCACGACCCCAGTGTCTGTGGGGCAGCCCCAGCCGGGCCCCAGGAGTTCAGGTGCGGCTTGGCTGGGGTAAGGGTGCTCCACAAAGGATGGCTGGTCTGAGGCCCCCAACCGGTGGGGGGGAGCTTTGGAGGCACAAAGCATGTATGTGGCAGAGGGGGCTGTCGCCCCCATGGCTGGGCTGGCTGCCCACGTCCAGTGCATGCAGGTGCGCCCCCCACCCCGCCCCCGAGTGGAGGGCGCAGAGAGGAAAGGCGGAGCCCATAGGTCAGGCAACGGCTGTCGGAGCGGCTGGGGTGGGCAAGCAGCCTTGGCAGAGAACCAGAGGGGCCCCTGGGCCGGAGGGACGAGTAAGACACGGGGTCCCACCGACCCCTCCCAAATGCGGGGCCCAACCTCCGAAGGAGGGGCGACCAGATGGGTGTAAGTCCCACCAGGGAGAAGGAGCGGTTTACTTTGTAAAATAACAGTGGTGGTAAAAGGTCAGCAGCTTTGCCGGGGGACCAGATGTCCCAGGGAAGGAGGGGGGCAGGCCAGGGAAGCTCCCAGGCCAACTGGCCTCAGGCTGTGAGTGGGGAGGCTCAGGGCACCCCCGCTTGCCCCGCCCCATCCCTGCCTGGGAGACATCCCAGGGCACCCTGCTTTGGCCTGGACGAACATCATGGCTTCAGTATCCCATCTTGCCATCCATCCTGCTGGAATTCCTTCCAGAGGCAGATAGGTCTAAGTTTAGGAACCCTCGCCCTCGAAGGCAAACAGCCCCTCGGTGGAGACGCTGGGGTGCGTGAGAACCGAGCCCCAAAGTGAACATAGTGCAAAGCAGAAGTTGGGCCTGAAGCCCCCAGAGCAAGTCGGGGTGAGCTCCAGGGGCGGTCGTGGCCTGTGGCTTCTCAAACCAGCTGAGGACTGCCCCCACGGTGGCGGGGCCTCATCTCGGAAGGCTGGAGGAGCCCCCTGGAGCCGCCGGCCCCTGCCTCCTCCTCGCGTGCTGGCAGAGGCTCGGGACGGGACAGGAGCTGGGCTCAGGTGCGCGCTCCGGGCCCCGGCGCTGGCCTGTCTGGCTCGGCTGTCGTGGGAGGAATGATCTGCGCCGAGAGGGGACCGGATCCCGGGGAAGGTCTAGGACGAACAAACACAGAGAACCCACGCTGCGCTCTGCCACCTCCTGCCCGTCGTGGTCTTTCCTCCGGCCCGTGCCCACGGCCTGGACGACGCTTCTGAATCCCAGCGCCGGGAGCGGCCTGAAGACGCCAGACCCGGTGGCTGCAGACACGGCTCCGAGTCCCGGGCCAGCTGCCTGTACTCTGGGAGGCGGCTGCCTCCGTGTGAGGAGATGATGCTGGCCCAGGAGGCTGGACCCAGGGCAAGGGGCGGCCTGAGAGAGAAGGCGTGGGCGGGAGACCACCAGACAGGACGTGGGGGTGGGGGGCAGGGAGGCTCCGGGCATCTCAGGCCCGGCCTCCCCAGATCAACACACCAGAGACCCTGTGGGCCGGGGCCGCCCCGCGGGAAGGTCCAGGAGGACAGGGCCGGGCCGGGGGGACCTCGCTACCTCCTCTGTCTGCAGTTCGTACAATCGGCGTGCCTCCCTGCCTTCGGTCTCTCTTCCCTTGTCTCCCGTCAAAGTTTTGGGACGCCTTCCCCCCCACCCCGACTCTCAGCCCCCTGACACGGTTCACATCCTGAAAAAAAAACAAAAAAACAAAAAAAACAAAACCACTTCCAAACCCGAGACCAAACAAGTAAGATGCTGCCCTCCGGGAACGAGCGAGAGGGAGAGCGGCACCCCTACAATCAGTGGTCGGGCCGCCGGAGCCGCTGGCGGGGACGCGGACCCCTCACAGCTGGGAGCCGCCGCCCGGCCCGCCCGGGCCCTGCTGGCTCAGCGAGCGGCAGCTGATCCTGCGGATGGAGTGCAAGGCCACCGTGCAGCAGCCCCGCAGCAGGGAGCTGATGTTGTAAATGGGCTGGCCCTGGCGTCGCTGCGAGCGGCACAGCCAGGCCACCGTGGGCACGGCCGGCACCACCACGGCCAGCAGATCCACGATGTAGTGGCGGCTCCAGTAGCTCTTGGGCTCCTTCTCGGCCGCGGCCACCTCCTCCTCGTCTTCCACGGGGCACGCCACGCTCACCGACGGGCTGGGGTCGGCACCGGGCCGGTGCGGGCTCGGCCCTCGGGTGACGGGCTCGGGGGCCTCGAGCTCGTCACCCACCGTCACCACCACGGCCGAGTCGGGGTCTTTGGGCCCCGGGGGGCGGGGCTCCGGCTCCGGGCACCCGTGCCCCGATTCGGGGACCGCCCCGCAGACCTGGGCCCTGGTCACTTTCTCCAGGATGGTGTCCAGGTCCGGCTGGTACTGCACGAAGTCTGTCTGGATGGCACGCTCCTGCACGCAGCTGGCCTGCACGCCGGCCTCCGTGCCACACAGCAGCTTCTCGTAGGTGTTGCTGGCAGGGAAGCGGGGGCCCAGGCTGAAGCCGCCGTGCAGCGAGCCCTCCTCGGGGCCGCAGTCCACGCCCGACGACAGCAGGCTGCTGGCCTCCAGCGCGTCCGTCCGGCTCAGCGTGTCGTCGGTCACCGCGAAGCCGCTGTCAGCCCCGTCCTC